CATTTAATAAATGTCTTGTTTTGATACACAAGTTGCTCAGGTTTTTTTTTTCATCTAAAAATGAGCAACATTAATTTCTTGACGACCTAGTATCTTATAAGATCAACTTATATTGAGGTTTCTGCCTGCTTAACCAAAATTTTTCAAATGGTATGTTAAAGACCAAAATATTAACTGAAGTAACCCAGCAGACACTCAAAAACAAAAGAATTTAAAAAAAAATCCAACATACACATTTAAAACAAGTCAATATGGTAGTGATACGAACATTAAGTTAAATTACTGGTGAATTTCTTAAGTCAGGTAAGAATATATTACCAGTGATAGGTAAGTAACTAACTATATGTTCGAGATGTTTTCTTAATTTGTACGTGCCGATTAAGAAGTTGGCCAGTAGTAGAAGATTACAATGAACGTATGGTGAAATTTTAAAGAAAACCCTCATATTACCTTAAATGTTCAAATATCCTCATCTGAAAATGTATAAGGAGTAAAACGCCCCCCCCCCCCTCCCAGTGGCACAGCGCTATGTCTGCGGACTTAGAACGCTATAATCCGGGTTTCGATACCCGTGATGGGCAGAGCACAGATAGCCTATTGTGTAGCTTTGTGCTTAATTACAAACAATAAGGAGTAAAAATAAGTAATTTTACACCAAATTCCTAAGACACAGAGTAAATGTAAGGCACCTATAGGTTAAGAGAAGTTATTTCTTACGATACAATTAACATTGTCGCAATTAAAAGTTCAACCACGACAAAGCCCAAAACACTCGTTAACTTTACGATAAAGTCTCATCGACTATTGGGGTGCGGTGGGGGTTTTGAGTGATATGCCCTCCCTCTCAAAATTCGGGCACTCGAATCGAAATGTCTTAACTTCATGATCTAGCTACGGTGCTGTTTTCAGTAAACTGGACTTTTGGCAAATACAGCTTTACAAGGAGGTAAAGTTTTATAATCAATGTTTTAATAAACAATTCTTAAAGCAGACATATCGTTCTACAGATATCTTGAAACTTAATGTTTTGTCTTCAAGTGAAAACGTGAATCAAATCTTCATCAAGTGTTGAACAAGTTTATTATTAAAGATTATGAATAATAAAATTTATAAGTAAATACAATCTGGGTTGAGTATAATGTTTATTATCACATTTCTGACATTACATAAAAAACAACAACTGTATGTCAGCAATGAACTGATTGCTAAGCCAATCCTGCGGTAAATATCCGATTAAATCTCACTTTTAAGTTACCAAATAATTTAAATCACAACACTGTACAATTCTTGCTCAATTTGGTTGAACGAGGATACCTGCTAATACTATGTTTTAAAATTGGTTGAACAAGGATACCTACTGATACTTTAAAATGAGTTGAATGAGGATATCTACTGATACTTTGTTTTAAAATTGGTTGAAAGAAGATACCTACTGACACTTTCATTTAAAATTGGTTGAACGAGGATACCTACTGACACTTTCATTTAAAATTGGTTGAACGAGGATACCTACTGACACTTTGATTTAAAATTGGTTGAACGAGGATACCTGCTGATACTGTTTTAAAATTGGTTGAACAAGGATACCTACAGATACGTTTTAAAAGAGGTTGAACAAGGATACCTACTAATACGTTTTAAAAGCACTAAATACTACTGGTAGTTCTGATTAATATAGAGAAAGTCTGGATTACAGTGATGGGGAAGAAACTAATCTGACACACTGGGATATAAACAACTAATTATAACAAAAAAAAGGGACAAAAAATAATTTAATAGTTTTTGAAGGGATTTCTTCTTTGAGAATGAAGAAATAAATCACCACAAACTGTGAAAATCTGACACACTAGAATATATAAGACTAGTTTTAAGAAGAAGGGGAAGGAAATAGTTTTGAAATGGATTCCACAAAGGAGGTTTTGGTTTCAGTACGCGTGGTCCTTGATGAACAAAACCTCTCCAGCTGCAGCTCCACTGACGCCACCACAGTATTTACCAAGTGAAGCTTCACTGTTTGCCTGTGTAAGAACAAAAGTATAAATATTAATACATCATTTTTTTGGGGGTACTAAATTCACCTTTCTTTCTACTGGATGAGCAAAACAAGATCAACGTGTTTCGTGATTTATATTGGCTAAAGTTAATCTTGCATTTTGAGAGCAAATAAAAATAAAGAACACGAACCTTCGTTTCATCCAGGATAAAAGACAAGTTCGCTACTTCCTAGGCACAAGTTTTAAAACAGACTTTATAATGACATTTTTTTTCCAAAGTGTAAAAACAGAGTTCTGTTAAATAATATGGCAACCTTGAGAACTACATAGAAATCTATTAAAATGTCCAGATATTCTAGACTGTGTTTTTAACGAGACGATACGAGCCCCATAGTTTGATCACTGATGCACTTGTGCAAATACATAACAACCTACCCAACTTTAACTTCATTAGCACTGTATTTACACAATAATTATATCACACTTGTAGCTGCCAACGATGGAAGACACATGCCCAAACACGATTCAAGAAGGGAAGAACCTAAAACGTTTATCAGTGAAAATGTCTTCAACAGTCATATTTTATTTAGTTAGGAAAATTAAAGAAATATGAATATTAAGATTTAAAAATACTTTATATAACTTGGCAATCATGCGTTTAACTCAATTAAAACTGTAACGTGACTTTGTCCGAAAACTATATATACTAAAGCACAAACAATAATTAAAACGTATCCTGTGAATTCACCAACCTTGGCCCTCTTTAAAAATTCCTGTTGTCCACTCTTTATGTTCTCAGCCTTGCCAGACCAAGCTTTCAGTGCACTTGCCTGGAGGGCTCGTCCGTAACTGAACGTAAGGGCCCATGGTTTTTTACCTTGATACTTGTTGATAGCATCGAGATTGACAGAAGCCTCTTCTTCAGACTGCCCACCAGACAGGAAAGTAATACCTGAAATATATATTTCTTTATTACCTTTTAAACAATTAAAAACATTTTTTTCTTCTCATTTATGAGGAAAAGCTACAGAAAATAAAAAAATCATAACAAAAATAACAATGGGTCATGTTACTCCTATTACTCACCAGGTACAGCAGCTGGTACGGTTCGCTGCAAGGCAGTCACAGTTGCCTTGGAAATATCTTGAGCAGTGTATTTGATTGGACAGCTCTGACCAGCTGTCACCATGTTAGGTTTGAGCAGTGTGCCCTCCAGGTAAACATGGTGGTCACTCAGAGCCTTGTAAACTGCAGCAAGGACTTTTTCTGTGACCTTCTGAGCTCTCACTAGATCATGTGGGCCATCAGGCAAAACTTCAGGCTCAACAATTGGTACAATACCAGCCTACAAAATGAAATAAGGTGTCTTTATGATAAACAAGTCTATATTATAATATTTGATTAAATAAATTAATGCAAAAATATTAAATAAGCAAAGAATATGAGCAGTGAGAACATGAGTCATTAAGCCTAATGTGTCTTGCATGTACTAAGCCTAATGTGTCTTGCATGTACTAAGCCTAATGCGTCTTACATGTACTAAGCCTAATGTCTTGTATGTACCAAATGATACTTCTTTTAAGAGTAATTTGCTCCTTTTCAGTTTATTACCAAATTATCTTAGAATGCATTTATAATTCACTTACAGAAAGAAAAAACAGTTAGGGTATAATATTTGAAGGTGATAACATTTTCTGTTTCATATGTTTAACTTAGAAATTTAAACATTTTTAGATTTAAGAAAAATAATGCTATATTTTTATATCTTCCAACTGGCCCTACTTTTAAACTCCCCAAGATTTAAAAAAAATTATGTTACTTTATAAACACTAAATATTTCTATGATGTACAACAAAAACATCAGTAGTTTTCTGAAGTTAAAAATAATGTTTGAAATGACCCTCTATTTTACATGACTTTCAAAAGAGACCTCTTCCATAAAAAAAATATTAGTTTACTAATAATTAAACTGACTAAACTCAACACGAGTTACAATTCTGATGAGAAAACTAACTCAATGCAATGACAAAACTAACTCAATACGAGTTACACTTCTGATCCTAAAAGTTACATTAATGATGTGCGAGATTACGCAAATGTCAAATCACACGAATTATACACCAGTAACAGCGTGGTGACCGATTGACAGAAACAGGATACGTCCCAACCCGACTTGCATTGACAAACATGCAATACATATCAAATGTGAACAATCTCGTTACTAGTGATAGATTACCTGTTGGCAACATGTAGCATAACGAGCCAAAACATTAGCATTCTCCAAGATGGACAAGGGAGATGGAGTGTGCTCTCGGATCTTTAAAACACATCTCCACTTAGCAAACAGACATCCCTGTTCTCTGTATTCCTGGCATCGCTTGGTTAGGTCATCTAAACCTGTTTTAAAGATTTTTTAATGAGCTTCAACAAATATCACGTTATTGTTAGTATTTTTTTTACATCATTGTAATGAGCTTCAGTGTAAATAGTGATACATTAAAAGTAAATACAGACATATAGCTGTAATTTTTGAAAATACAAAATAAATTTCATCACATTTTTTTCAAGTTGAATAAAACCCACTAGTTTCATACAGATAATCAAGAAATTAACATAATCTGTGGATCAGAACTAAAAAAAATATACTCAGTAACGAGCAAGTTACTTATAGTAAACTTGTGGCCAATTTCTCCATTCTAAAGGTTGCTAAAACTTTTAACAACCAGGTAACTGTAAGAATAAGACTTAGAATGAAGAAATATAAGGACTATATTTTCTTATTTTAGTACTTAATCTCATTCGAGGTATTATTACAGTATTAATTATCGTTTGAAACACGGTTTAGTTCTACATTTTTAAACACCAAACGTAACTTGCCCTGATAGTTTAGGAAAACAAATTAATAGTGAGATTAGAAATTTAGAAACATAACCCAACTCAAGAAGTTGGACGAAGCAGGTATGGAAAATGTGCGTGCGAGATCAACATTTCTGAAAAACAACAATGCAAGGACTTATCTTAAAATAACAGGAGGTAAACTTGTAACAACTTCTCAAGGAAGCAAATTCTGGCTTGCTACAAGTGTTAAGTAATAACACATGTGCACACTTTGGAGAATATTTCTACAAATTAGTGAAAATCTGTAGACATTACGAACACAAATAACAAAAACAACAAACGAGAAACTACACATACATCTATGAAAAAAGAATGAGAGAAATGTCTTCCTTCTAGTAACGGATTTGGGTTTATGAACAACAATAAACTATTTAATTTATATTATTTCAAGTTGAATAACACAGATACATTACAAGAATGCTACTGGAGAAGCTGCCAACGGCTACATAACTTCTTAAGTGGGTGTTAAGAGTATGACAATGTAACTTACCTTGGGTAGTTGATTCCTCATCAGTGCCCATCAGAGGCACAACACCCAAGTCAACCTTAATGCCTGGAATGATGCCTCGGTTCTTGAGGACTTGGATGAATGGAGTTCCGTCATCGGTTTTCTGATAAACAGTTTCGTGAAAGAGAATGACACCACTAATGTATTCATTCATTGCTTGGTCACTCGTAAAAAGCAGCTGGCGATACTGTCTTCGGTTCTCTTTCGTCACATTCTTATTCATTTTCATTAAACCCTGTTAATGTAAAATTATGAGAGGTCTGACATGTTCACTATAAATGTGCTTATCTAATGACTTAATGTTCACTATAAATGTGCTTATCTAATGACTTAATGTTCACTTTATCAGCCACAATGGGTAAAAGGCTCGTGGGAATTGGCGTGGAGAATACTGCAAGTACTGAATTTCATATTTTAGATCTATAAATCAACTGAACTGTCAGTAACAAAAATAACATTTTTCGTTTACAAAATGTAAATAATCTAACTTGGTAACCTTCGTCAAAGAATAAATTAAAACACATATTATAAATTGTATGATATTAAACGTATTGAACACCAGAAATTTTAAATTTACTTTATGTAGCTTCATCAACTAAAAATGACATAGAATTTGGTAATACCGAAATGTAATCCACACGTTCAGCATCATTTAATGGATTATAAAGGTTTGGTTCATAAGAATAGTATTTCCTTACAAGTTGTCTTTTCCTTTGGTTAGAACCGGGTGATTAGAAGAATTTAATAATTGATTATTTTTATGCGAGACTTAGATAGTTGGAATAATTAAAAATAGTAATAAACAAAAACTAATTTCAATTAGTTGAATATTTTCATGGGTCATAACACAAACCGAGAAATCTGAACAACCTTGAATTACTCAAATATAATCAAGAAACATAATGGCAATATTTTTATTAATTTGATTCTTGGTGTATTCAAAGAGAGTAATTTTGAGTAGTTAATTATTTTCATGACATTAATCAAGTTAATTATAAAGTTGATTAATCAGTTATTTTATGTGACACTAACTGATGCTCATGGGGAATCAATTAATTTAATTTAATTACAAGAACTTACTATTTTACTTTTATCAGTTTTGACAAGCACTTACTATTTTACTTTTATTGTAAAACAAGTTTGAACGTGTAAAAAGCTTTTCTGTAAAACAGACTTCAGAAAATGATCATCTCTTTAAATCTGTTTCAACATATAATTTTTTTTCATATTTTCTTATATTTGTACGTAATTACTTGTCATTTGTATAATAATTCACAAAGCTTGTGTGAACAAAACAGTTTATCAAAACCTTACTGAATGCACAGTGACCCAGCAAGTTTTGAAACCAGGATACTTTTTTCTAGAAATAGTAGACTCTTTCGTCTTTGTGCCCAAGTGTAGAGCAACTCAATTCAAAACTGATAAATGTAAAATAGTAAGTGCTTGTCAAAACTGATAAAAGTAAAATAGTAAGTTCTTGTCAAAACTGATAAATGTAAAATAGTAAGTGCTTGTCAAATCTGATAAAAGTAAAATAGTAAGTGCTTGTCAAAACTGATAAAAGTAAAATAGTAAGTTCTTGTCAAAACTGATAAAAGTAAAATAGTAAGTGCTTGTCAAAACTGATAAATGTAAAATAGTAAGTGCTTGTCAAAACTGATAAATGTAAAATAGTAAGTGCTTGTCAAAACT